GGCCCTACTCAAATATTAAGACATACGGGTTGTACCGCTTTGAATTTTTCACACAAAAAAAACTTTAAACATGGGTCCCATTTATGACAAAAATACCAATAAAAATATGTGTGTTTTTCTTCAAATTTCCCAAATTTTCCGGATGTTTGCCATGCAAACACCCGAAAATTGTGGAAAATGGGCCTTATTTCGAGAAAAAAAATCCCCCAAATGACCCTTAAAAATTGGTTAGGGTTTCGAGGCTTCGGCGGCACACCCCCGACCAAACCAAATCTGAGTATTCCCCCCCCCCCCCCGGGATTTTATCAATTCTATTGGCGTTGTGTGTATGAATTCCATCTGTAATCGCACGAAAATACCTCTTCAGAGAAGAATTAACGTTACATATTTATTTCTGACTCATTTTTAAGCATTATAGTATATTATGTTTACCGCCTTGGAGATGTGCTCCAAGGACCTACACATGTGCTCCATGAATTACACTTGCTAATATAATATTTTTTGTCAATAATATTCGCTTCATGTATATAAATTCCATCTACATGTAGCTGTAATCGCCCCAAAATAACTCCTTAGAGAAAGCATTGATCTTACATATTTATTTCTGACTCCTGTTATAATCATTATGTGTCAGTATAATGTACATCGCCTTGGAGATGTGCTCCATCGACCTCCACATGTGCTCCATGAATTACACTTGCTAATATATGTTTATTTTCTCAATAATATTAGCTTCATTTGTATATAAATTTCATGTAATAGCTGTAATCGCAACAAAATAACTCCTCAGGGAAAGCATTGATGTTACACATGACATTGTATTGGTGACTCATGTTAATCGAAATATGTCAGTATATTGCCTTGAAGATGTGCTCCATAAAGAAGGAGCTTGAACTCATGTTGTCGTTGTTTTTGATTTGGTCGTTTGTTTGTATGTTACCTGCCATCACCATTATAGCACTTATAATTATCATTGAAGTAAAAAATACTCAACAATTTTACCACTCTCGCACCCCCTCCTTTCTCTCTCTCTCTCTCTCTCTTTCCCTCTCCCTCTTTCATAATTATAAACACAGTCATGCACATTCACTCTTCTGTCTCTCTGTCTCTCTCTCTCCACATCTCTTCCACCCTTCTCTCTCTCTCTCTTTCTCTTTCCATCCCCTCTCTCCAATCTCCCGTTTACTCTCTTTCCCATTTCTTCCATCCTCTGAGGCCAAGAGCCTTACTTAGACCCCTTTTGACCTATTACTTTGACCATTGACTATATACAGGTCCCTGCTTAGACTATGGTTAGTGGGGGGGGGGGGGGGGGGCTGTCAGCCCGCAGAGCCCCCCCCCCCCTCCAGGAACAGACGCCAATCATTGGATGAATGTCACCCTCAGAAACTTTGTCAAAAGAAAGCGATATCACTGTTCACCACAACGGTCAGACGCCCCTAAAATTGGGTTTAATTTTTTCATTAAAAGAGCATGGACCTAATTGTGTCCGAAGGAAGAGGTGTAGGGTATATTAAAAACTAACAAAAAGTTCCCATGGTTATTGAGAGTGTGTCAATAGAGTGTTATAAACCCAGTCAGCTCCTTTTTTTGGTTCTGTAATAGCTAAAGATGGTCAAACGTTTCGTTGCATAATCCTGAACATTATACAATGAAAGAAAATAATGATGTGACACTTCAAGAAAATTACAGTCAGTACTCAAAATGACACTATACGCGAATTTGAACTAAATTGGCTGGAAGGATACATTTTCTGTACTTCCAGAACAATGATTTAGGTGCAACGTTGGTAAGGGGAACTTTGGTATTTTCCGTTTTCCAGAAAAAAAACTTAGTGAAAATCTATTGTGATTGTACAGCCGTAACAATTTTTGCGTTTGTAATATACAGTGAAACTTCATTTCGACAACATCTGGGACATTCAATTACATTTATTTAAAATCATAATTATATAGGACAAATCGTGAGTCTATAAATGTGAGTTTAAACCATGAATCTTTTATTTTCAATATAATTTCTGTCGTTAAACATTATGATACGTCAATTTGAAAAACACAATATAGGCATACGTCACTTAGCAGTGCCATGATTACGCATTTACATTACTACCAGTGCTCTTTTCAATTTAAAGTAATATTTCGTGTTTATCCAGAAAATGAATCAATATCACATTACTTCAACGAGCCTACACTAAGAAGACTGACAACCTAACACAGTATTTCAATCTCCAAGGTTCATCTGCTTGAAACCTATTATATTCAAAACAAGTTCATACTGTATGTAATTTGACTTTATATAAAAACACTTTGACTGAGCAATTAAACGACATTTTATGGATCACATTGGTAATAACTTTGATTGTTTTCACTCCAAAACAATGAAATGCATTGTCCTTTCAATGGAGACATGACCGAAAGTCCACAGGAGCACAAATAAGTTCATGAGACAGGCTTTTTAGTCTCGTGACCCTCAAAATATAAGAAAACTAACGAGACCGAATTTTGGGGTCTCGTACACTTTCAGCCCAATGGACCTTAAGTAGTCTCACTATACGTACCCCTGACAACACATTATTTTAAATTTAGGCCCTATATATTTTTTCTTTTCTTCACATGAATAAAAATGTCTTAATGACACCGAATTTAACCTGGTATTGGATCCATAACACGAAACAGTCATGATAATATCATTGTACATCTGATATCAAACAGAGCTTCACTTTCACAATGAATGAATACAAACATTGATTAATGAGAAGATTTTTCCTGTAAAAAGACCAACAACAAAATGTGCAAAGTATATGAGTATTAAACCGAATAAGCAAAAGTTATTGAGAAGGTTCTATACAGTTATATCCTAGAGGCGTAATTGTCAGTCTTTGAGTTATGACTCCAAATCAAATAAACCATCGGTGAACATTATCATTACACATGACCACTATATACACCACCGAAAGCCACACAAATGTCAATTAAAGGCTTGTATAGTAATTATTTTTGAAGTATGTTATCCATTTTCGAGGCGCACCCTGTATAACAATAATGATTTTAATAATTATTATATATTTACAGGAACAGTAATTGATGTATTGTATTTGTGAGTGATATCTGTATATTAATAACATAATTATTAAGGGATAAAGAATGATAACACGCATCAAATAGTAAAACAATGTAATACAGGAAAGTGAAAATTTGCCAGACTTATTTGACTAGTATATTGGATGATATATATTTGATACAAGTAAATTTGCACACACACACAAAAAAAAAATCGCAACGACTTAGCCAACCGCTGAATAAGCGGGAGGGGGGGGGGTCCAGGATTTGCTGACAAATTTTGCAACGACTCAGCCAGCCCCTGAATAAGCGGGGGGGGGGGGGGGGGGGGGGGGTTAAAAACACATTTTTTATTTTTTGGGCAATAATAATACACACCTAACCATGGCTAAGGATAAGCAATTCATATTCTACGTAAAATTAGTAACAGTACTAAATTATACAAAAGGAGTTCTAATTGGATAGTATGAATGTATGATAACAGTATAATGGTTCATAATAGTGATGTTAGTAGTGCTGCTTACGTGTTTGTTATACATGTATTATTGGTATTAGAAAATCAGTATTGTCATTAGAATATCGTCATTAGGAAAGCAGTATTGTTTGAAGGATATTAAGTTGAAATAATAAATATTGGTGACACGTCTAACATATATACAGTAGGCTTGCGGGTGCACCGTGTGAGAGAGAGAGGGAGGATTGATGAGTCCTGAAAATGACTCTCGGTAATCTTTCTAACAGAATATGGAAGGTAAATGAAATAACATAGCAAGTGAGAGTTAAATATATATGAAAATTATGAAGATAAATAGGGGCATGTTTACAGGCGCGGATCCAGGATTTCTTAGGGGAGGGGGCCCAACTTTATTTTTGTTTTTGCTCCCGAAAATTTGAAAATCGCGCCGGCCGAAAAGTCGCTCAGGGGGGGGGGGGGGGGGGGGGGGGGGGGGGGGGGGGTAGTAAGCACATTTTTTTTTTTTGGGGGGGGGTCCTCGAAAAAAATTAAATTTGCACCCCCCCCCCCCTTGAGCGCCAGGGGGGGGGGGGGGGGCCCAAACCCCAAAAAAGGTAAAAATCGCGTGATTTTACACGATTTTTTTTCTGAAGGGGGGGGGGGGGGGGGGGGACCCGGGCCCCCCCCCTGGATCCGCCACTGCATGTTTATATAAATATAGATATATATATATACAAATAGAATTATACAAAAGGAGTTCTAATTGGATAGTGTGAATTAAGGTTATTTTTGTAGTACATCCTATCTGTCAAAATTGCAATGAATTTAAACTTTTGTTATGAAATTTCACGTTATTCATGATATATCCCTTTAATTTTTCTTACACACCCTGTATATAAACTTGACTCTGACAAAAATGTATTCCTTGGTTTATAAGCATTCAGAAAATGTAACTTTTGTAGGTGTAAGATTTGAATTTTTTGAGATATTTCAATTTTTAATGGAACAGGTGCAAAATCATGAAATTTGGTGCTTGTAACGCAAATATAGCCCACCATAGGACACATGACCATAGCTAAAGTGGCATTATGGTTTAAATGTAATAAATTATCTCTAAATATAAACAAAACTTGTTTCATGCATTTTAGTAATTCTCAGTTACCCCACTTTAATTATTGTAACATTGTTTGGGGCAACTGTTGTAAATCTAAAATTGACTCATTATTCCTTTTACAGAAAAAAGTAATTTATCTCGTGGCTTGGATATAGATATTTGAACAGAGGCTTTTCATGTCCGCCACAAGAGAATGATCGCTAAACTCGAAGTAATTTCTCTCAAACCTCACTTTGCTGTCAGCTAAGATGCATTTCTCTAGAACTGCCTGATTCGAGCATATCAAGACACCCACAGCTAAGCCTTGCTTGATCGCTGCTGGCATTAGCATATATCTAAATTGAGCTACCGATGGCTGAGATAATACCTTCCCTTTTTTTATTTCAACAAGCAAGTGTTCTTTGGATGTGCTTTCGAGAACAATGTCTGGTATGAACTTGAAGACTTGACGACAAACAGCGTCCTGTAATAAAGGAGCTGTCTGTGAAACACGAGGTGAACATCTTGTCGGCGTAGGCAACTTGGCAGGAGATTCCGGTGGCGAAGAGTCGGACTCACTTTCCTCTTTGGTGAAGATGATGTCCGCACAAAAAAGTAATTTATCTCATGGCTTGGATATAGATATTTGAACAGAGGCTTTCCATGTCCGCCACAAGAGAATGATCGCTAAACTCGAAGTAATTTCTCTCAAACCTCACTTTGCTGTCAGCTAAGATGCATTTCTCTAGAACTGCCTGATTCGAGCATATCAAGACACCCACAGCTGAGCCTTGCTTGATCGCTGCTGGCATTAGCATATATCTAAATTGAGCTACCGATGGCTGAGATAATACCTTCCCTTTTTTTATTTCAACAAGCAAGTGTTCTTTGGATGTGCTTTCGAGAACAATGTCTGGTATGAACTTGAAGACTTGACGACAAACAACGTCCTGTAATAAAGGAGCTGTCTGTGAAACGCGAGGTGAACATCTTGTCGGCGTAGGCAACTTGGCAGGAGGAGATTCCGGTGGCGAAGAGTCGGACTCACTTTCCTCTTTGGTGAAGATGATGTCCGCACAAAAAAGTAATTTATCTCATGGCTTGGATATAGATAATTGAACAGAGGCTTTCCATGTCCGCCACAAGAGAATGATCGCTAAACTCGAAGTAATTTCTCTCAAACCTCACTTTGCTGTCAGCTAAGATGCATTTCTCTAGAAGTGCCTGATTCGAGCATATCAAGACACCCACAGCTGAGCCTTGCTTGATCGCTGCTGGCATTAGCATATATCTAAATTGAGCTACCGATGACTGAGATAATACCTTCCCTTTTTTTATTTCAACAAGCAAGTGTTCTTTGGATGTGCTTTCGAGAACAATGTCTGGTATGAACTTGAAGACTTGACGACAAACAGCGTCCTGTAATAAAGGAGCTGTCTGTGAAACGCGAGGTGAACATCTTGTCGGCGTAGGCAACTTGGCAGCAGGAGATTCCGGTGGCGAAGAGTCGGACTCACCTTCCTCAAATGTAACTTCGAAGACTAATTTCCTAACTGATGGCTCGTTGGCAGTTGAGGAACCACCAATATTCATCACTTTGACTGAGGTGTCTGAGCTGAATAGTTGTGTAAGGAGAGTAGATATCATTGATCTGCCCCGGGAGTTGGACATATCGGAGACAAAGCCTTGTGTAATATGTTGTTGTTCTATGGATAATACACCTGAAAAGAATAGAAAGAACAAAGAATCAACAGATGTTTAATTTGGTTGCTGTATATTAGGCAGTACCCTCACATTTCTGTAGTGTAGTCTAGCAGTGGCACTAACTCAGTTGACAATATTTGAATTTCAACAATTAAAATTGAAAATGGAGGCAGAATAAGAATACAAATAGCCTTTTAACTTGCTTTAATATAGATATATTGCTGTAAAGTTCCAAGTCTGATGTGTATAAATATAAACTGTGCATGCATAAGTGAAATTTAGTAGAAATATGTTTGAACACTCACATTTGAAGGTATTTCTCCTTACAAATTATCATGGTGACTTTCAAATATTTTAAGAACAAAGACAGGAAGTTATGTTAAAAGTGCCATCTACAGTTGACCATGTGATATTTCTATAGATCAGACTACTTCTGGTGTGACTGTGGTGTACCGTTTGATCTGATATAATAGACAAACATTTATTGGTGTATCTCTGGTGTAATTAAAAAGAAAAATTTAAGAACTCCCTGTGGTGTATTTCTGGTGTACCCTGTAATCTCAACTTGAATCAAACACCCACTGTTGTATCTGTGGTGTACCCAATAGGAATAAATTTCAGAAGTCCATATGGTGTATCTCTGGTGTACATGTTTTTGCTATGGTATACTTGTGGTGTAGCAGGCTCATTTACATATCTGTAGGTTACTTCTGGTGTACACCTCACATACACCATATATACACCATGTTATGAGGTGTACACCAGAGAAATGTAAGGGTAGACAGATAATATAGAATCACCATAAAACACTTACCGGTATCTGTCTTGTATTTCCATGATTTTGTTTCTTTGTCCAAGTACAAGGATTCAAGTGGCTCCAAGATCCTAGTAATAGTCTGTTTTATTTGATCAGGAACAAGTTCAGTATTGCTCATTTGACGCTGCCTGCCCAGACCTATCCAGTCTGTTATTTCATATTCGGTTTCAGTCTTGCCTTCTTTGATGCAAACAGGAGTCATCGATCTCCAATGACACTCATCAGTGCCGTGCTTCCAGGCTTTTATTGTGCATGCTGGGAATCGACATTGCTGAAAACAGATATAAACACAACAAAATGAACAGGAATCATGGATAAGTGATTTACATACGATATAAAGCAAACAAAGTTGGGAGGACAATTTCAGAATGATTATTATTCGTCTAATTTCTGTGCTCAGTCAAGCGTAAATTATTGGAGACCATTCCAGAAAAGTGTCATACAAGGTCTTAAACATGTGTCATAACATTTTGAAAATCATGATCATTAAACAAGTTGAAAATATGGTGGTTATTGTGGATTAGTAACTGTGTGCAGTCAACCGTGAAATAAGTCTCAAAATTCATACAACACACCCAAAAGCATCCCCAAATCATGTTACATTTCTCAAACTGCCAGAAATCACTGCATATTCCATGCATTAATATTTTGAAGTTATGGCTTTGAGCTTGTGAACTTTAAAAAGTGACCATTTTGCCTTTGGGGTGTGTTCACTCAAGCATGACGTAATGACTTGCTCCAATTTTCTCACAAACTTCAACTTACTAGTGTAGCTATAAGACTACCAAACCATATTTTGTCAATGTTTCTGGTTTAAAAGTTATCAACGTTTGTTTTAGGGGGGACTTACTTTTTTTGTTGTGTTTATATTAGTTAGTAAATATGAATGCATAAGATAAAGAAAATATAGGGAAAATGCATAGATTTGAGGCCAACAGTGTATTATATTTCATCACCAATTTTAAGAAATAAGTTGGAAATCGAAAAGTTCTCGATTCCCTATAGTTAATAATTATTCGCACAATCCTAGCTGTCGAGGGTTGTGACTATGAGATAAGGATTAGGAGCAATGGGCATAGGGTTTGGTTTAGGAGTTAAGGTTAGGGATCTTGGATCAGGGGTTAGGTTTTAGGGGCCAAGGATCAGGGGGTTAGCATAGATGTATTTATGAATTTATTCATTCCAATTTTCATTACCGATTCATATTCAACCTAATTCAAGGTCAACGTAACAGTACATAATTATGAATATCAGTCTTATTATATAGCTAGCTCTCTTTCAGGCGATGTAAAGGGTCTAGCTAGTGACAATTAAGTTCCTCGAGTGTGTTAGGGTCATCATAGCAAGGATATATCAATGCAATAGTGACTGGTTCCTTGTGGGTTAGGGGTCACATGGTGGGGGTGTACCCGTGAATTATAGTGAGACTAGTAGGGTTAAGGTTATGGTCAGGGGTAGCCAGTCGTTGATATATAGAAGTCTCCTCAAATTAAGAAAAGAAATTGTACCAGACCTAAAATTCAAATTTTCTTTGCATTAGGCTACTTTGCATACATTGATGTATTTTTATTTATTATTACAGGGTAAACTTTTGATAAAAATTTCATATGGTTGTAAATGACAAGTTTCCTCTATAATTTTAGTGTGATATTGTCTTCACAAAGACAAGCAAAAACAAATCATGGACGTGACATCATAGCTCTGAACTCTTTATGCGCTACCTAAATTTCACAAAAGATGTTATACCCAACAACTAAGAGCTGCAACTATGTAAAAATGCATAATGCAGTGCACTGTTTGGCTCTTCTATAGACCCAAGACCCTAGGGATTAGAGTATTGATTTTTGTTACCATTGTTCAGTGCTCTAACAATAGCCCCATGTCCTCACATTGGCTTTCATTTCTAATTGTGCACCTCAACTACCAGTGATGTGTCTTTTCCACCCGACACACAGGGTCCCCACCCAACCACCCAACGTAACGTCATGAAATTCGCTACAAACAAACAGAACGATTACTATACCGGTACTTTGCAAAATCTGAGAGGGGGATATAATTGACTGGAGCATTACCATAACATCCAACATTCCTCGTGGGGGTGTAACTTCTCCATCGACAAGTTTTCGTTTTTGCATTGTGACTGCCACTGTAAAAACAATGCACAGAATACAATAAAATCACTAAGTATAACATCAAGATTTGACAGATAACAATGAAACAATGTTGACCTTTACAACGATCATGAAATTATATGGTATTTGTTTTTTCTTAAATTCTTCGAGCTATGAGATGTTTGTTTACATTAAACTTTTTGGAATGAGTTGCATACCAAAGATTGGATTATGTCATTTTTGAGTTCTGTTGTAATGAGATGTCTAATGTGAATCATTTAAACTTGGGAAATTCTACCAAAAGTGAGTGAAATATTTACAGTAATAATGTACGAAATTACGATGAAACATGTTTGCACAAGTAAACCACTTTCACTAAAATTCCTGGAGTTTCAAGGATGATATATGTACAAGTACTCCTACTACAGGCTGAACTAAAAGGACAGGATAAAACATTTATAATTCAACGAACAGATCAATAACACTAATATAGATCGAAGGTTTTACACATACAATAAAATAAACTAAACTGCTTAGTAGAATGGGGAGTTGTGTATTCGGACACTTGACAAAAATCAACTGTCATTTTTCTATTTAGAATTTTGCAGAAATTATAAATCAAATTATGGTAAACATCATGAATATTTGTTCTTTGGAATATTATGAACATAACATGAAGAAATTAATGAAATAGTAAATGTCATCATGTTAAGATAAGAATGTTAAAATACTCTGTTCAGATAACCAACCAGTGCGGACACCCAATAACTGGATATACATTTGAGTCGATTTCTGTATCAGGTCGCTTTCACTATCGCTAGCGACAACAAGAAGTCAGGATTCTGGTTATAATCCTCTGTTTCAGGGGTCTAAATTATTTTAGGTCGCTAACTTAAGGCAACAACTCCTAATGCAATGGAAAACACTCCTGCGCAATTTCTGAGGAGGGGAGGTGGCCAAGGTGTGTGACTTTAGGTCAATGGGTGTGACATGGTTAAGGGGCAGGGGTGGGGTGTTATTTAAGGAATATGTACAACCATATCAACTCCTCGGTTTTAGGGGATTTAATTATTTATGGCATGAAGGGGTAAATCGCAGCACATGGGATGATGATAATTGAGATGAGGAGATGGAGGGGATGTCCAAGGGGTGGTTGACATGATTCAAATAAGGGGCAGGGGGGGGGGGGTATAAATATATATGTATGGTATGTGCACTACATATCGACAGTGTACAAAGTTATCGACAGCCCCGATTTCGCGTACAGAAAGCAGAGTACGCACTGCAGTGCGCGCAACACGCGTTGAAGCTGCACAGGGCTCAACCGCCAATGAGAAAATGTTTCAAAAACAATAAAATTAACGTTCGTAACTACGTTAAATTGAGAAATAAAAATCCCAACAAAATCCCAATGCAATATCAATGCATTTTTCTTACAACACGTTGTTCAATGGGACTTGTTTCTGTTTTTATTACGTGCTTTGTCAATGCAGACGGGGTTGTCGATATTTTTGTCGGACAAACTGAAGTGCGATAAAAACAACATCGCGGGGATTGCACGGCGATATCTTCGTACGGGGACATCGAATCGCAAATGTGATAATAGAATCTGAATCTGCAGTATTTTCCTCACATTTGAGTATAATTTCCTGTTAATTTCAATGAAATTTGAATATCTGAAAAAGTTGACAATCGTTAGCCGGCCGATATGTAGTCCACCCAACCATACTGCCATATAGCAACTCCTCGGTTTTAGGGGATGTTATTATTTATCATCCCATGCGCTGCGATTTACCCCCTGATGGCTGATAATAAAGTTCCCTAAAAGTAAAATCGAGGAGGCTTGTGCTATATACATGTTAGTATATTCCTCTACATACCCCCCTTCTATTGCCCCTTGGCCTTATAGTTATAGAACCATGTCACACACCCTTGGCCACCTCACCTCATCATCATCATCATGCATCCTTATTAATTAACTCATGTGCTCCGATTTACCCCATCACACCCACTCCTACTACGTATGAGGTCCATGCATACTACGTATGCTATATGGACCTCATACCTACCTCCTGTACAAAAACAGGGTGATATTTTTCAAACGCAAACTGTACTTCTCTTTTTATGATTATTGCAACTTTTGGTGAATTGATATTACTTCAACTATAATTAAGATATACCTCCCAATATATCTCTGTCAGAAATCACTTGCAAACTCCTATGGAAAAGATGAAAAAAGGCAAAATTATCTGTTGCATTTTGTAGTCTGCTACGACCATGAACAGCTGTACAGTAGCTGTATGTAGCGATCGTTTGGTATCAACCTGTCGTAGAGGGCTTAACCCTAATAGCACCGGGGGGGGGCCATAATGGCCCCCCCCCCTCAACATTTTTCGCGACCATTCCGCCGCGCGAAATTTTTTGACCGCGCCGCTCGCTGACTTTTTACTTTCAAGTCTCGCGCATCTTTTGACACCATTTTCGCGAAAATCGGGTATACCGTTACGACGCTGCACGACCTTTTATACATGCTCGTCAGACCGAAAATGGCTCAAAAACGTGATTTTGTGTACAAAGTCAATGCAAATGGAGTTTTCTCACCTTATTCATAAAGATATGATTATTTTCACTTTCATTGGCTGAAATTAATTTATTTTAGCATAATTATGCTTCAAAAAGGTTCTATGATAAATTTTGCGAAAAAAAACAACAAAAACAAAAGGTCGAAAAACAAAGAAATACATAAGAAATTCAAAAAACAATAAAATACATAAGAAATTAATTTTGATACAAGAATTTTTTCATGTACAATTGTTAGGAATGCTACAAAGAATATTTACACCAAAAATTAGCATTCTAGGAGCTTTATTTAGTGATTTAGAGCAAAAAGTATAATTTCATGCATAAATTAGCATAATTAATTAATATAAAATAAAAAACAATTATTTCGGAAAAACTAACTATACAGTTTTGTAGATTACATTGCACACTACCATCGTGCAAATTTTCGCGGCGCTCGCGCGATCGGCGGCCGAGATCTGAAGGGGGGCCATAATGGCCCCCCCCCCCCGGTGGTAGCAAGGTCTGAAATAGCCCGGTGCTATTAGGGTTAAGTAAGTATTGCTCCATAGAATCTATGTATCGCTCAGTCACGTCACACCACTCGCTAACACACGGCAAAGTACATTTACCAAATTGTATCATTGTAAACAGTTACAGCTCATCAGGAAGACTCAATTTTCTAACGGATTAAACGTCATTTCAACGGTGAGTTCTTACATTTTGTAAAATTTAGTATGGCATTAGTAGCATAGAACATGATAAAGTCAATATTATTGATAGGTGTTGTTTAAATTTAAATATTTTCTCGTTTTAAAATGACTACTGTCAGCGTGAACTAGCGCTAATTCATTTAGTGTTACGGAGATATGCACACCTGGGGGACTTGTATACATAACAGGCATATGTACACATGTGTGCATTGTTGTACACAAACAACATTTGAGGAACGTATTATTTTTGAACATTTTTCTTTTAAATAATTTGTGATCTAAAGTTCATGCAAACACTTATCAACACTGCAATATTTAGACTTGATACTCACTACCAAAAAAGAGAAATTTTGAAGCAAATTTTGTAGACCTCAGTGCATGCAGTCTGGCATTCAGTCACCATTGCTGAGAAGTGCAAGTCCCCCAGAAGTGGGAGATATGGAGGTGTGCTGTGATCACACCATACATAAAAGCCTAGAAACTAGGTGTTATATGGCATTTATTCCTTTTATTTTTTTACCCCCATCCCCTTCACAACTTTGTATGAACCAACCATGAAGGTCCCCCAGGGCTCGAATTAAGGATTTGGAAGGGCAAGGCCATTTACAAAAAGGGCACTTTGGATTTGAAAGGGCACTTTGACCAAGCAAAAGGGCACTTTGTCCAAGCAAAAGGGCACCAAGGCCATCCAAGAAATTTTAGAAAAGGCACAAAGGCCAAAAAAAAAAAAGGGTCACAGCAAATCTAAATGAGGGCGTATTTAATACACAGGCAGCAAACTTGATTGCAGACAACAAAAAAAAAGGTACAGAACGGCAGGCAGGAAATCCGCTAGCAAGCGCATTGTATAGGGGGGCTGGACATTTTTGCCCGAATATCAACTTGCAAGTTATTGCTAATTTTCGAACGAGCGAGCGTAGTGTTTTGTTTTGTATTGGGGCTATTTTATCATTATGTCTTGTTTATTTCAACATTTGCTTGTTTTGTTTGTGTTGTATTTTGTGTATTAATTGTTCATTTAAAGGTATCTTGGACTTTTGGAGGACTTTTAATAGTCAAAAAATGCTTTGAAAACATTCAAGAATACTACTAGTTAAACTGATTTCATATTAAAATATATGAAAATAGCACAATAATTAATGATGCTTAAACTTGCTAACACATTAAAGGATATGTGGGACAATAGGAAGATGATTTGGACGGGATTAATGACAGATTGGTGGATGTGAATCTGCAGGGTCTGCTGGCGGGGACTGTTTGCCATTTGCCATTTGTGTGTGGATGTGAAGAGTAGTGCTGTTGTCAAAAAAAAAAATGCATGTCGACATGTCGCCACAAAACTTATCACGACATCGACATGTGTCGACAATCTCGACATAGATCAATGTCTAGCTCCGATTTTTCTCAGTCACGCATCAACAATGCACCACACAATGTCACGATCACACTCGTCCTCATTACCAATTCAGCGATCCGCTCACCTGCAAAGTGTCGTTCTTTGTGCTTCAATTTTCAGTCATTCTGATTTCTCTCTATACCTCTCGACTTCAACATGTGAATTTATTTAATAACTTCTTCATAATTTGAAAATTATTTCCGATTTTGCACGTCAACAGCACAAGTGCTACTGGCGATAGCCGAGACATGCAATGCCCCGCACCGATCGCCCAGGGTATATGAGGGCCAACTAGCCCGGCCCGGTGATAGCGCGCGAGCGGCACATCTGTGTATCATCTTGCAATTTTCACGCATTTTATCTGAGC